TTCCAGAGACAGTTGTAAGCACTGTGTAACTGCCTCGAGGATTCCTTACCAATTTAACACAACGTGGTGCGATCATCCCCCTTGCGCGGAGTGAGGGTTCTCCACCCCGCACAACATGATCCACTCGACCACCACTCATGGTTACCGCCAAAAAATAGAGGTGAAAAAAAAACGGTAACCTGGTAGGAGGGGGGCGCGTTTTCAAAATGCCGGCAAGCTCCGAACTAGGCATTTTGGCCATATTCCGTTTGCTTCTGACGAGGGAAAACCACGTGCCCACCTTGTGGCTATACGCGACCTCGTTCTGACGGTAGAAGTAATCCCAGATGTCGACCACCCCGTCCATCCTCGTAACGAAGAACACCCCTGCCCTCGTCGGACTGAAACACCCGCTCGTCAAGTATGCGCTGTGGTACTGCGGTGGAACGGCGGGTACGACGTGCCGCAAGACAACAGCAGGATACCCCCCTTTATACATAGGACACGATAACTACTATTATGGGAGTTCTTCACAATACTCTTTTTCTCTTTCACTGTCGCTCACCAAACTGATCTGTGGTGTTACGAAGTACGATTCCAGGAGTTTTGTTGCTTCACGGAGTGGATCGATTGCACGGAAGCCGAACGTGATGAATTTCATAGGAACCCACAGCCCAACTGTGCTGGCAGCGTATGCTGCCCGTAAAGTATTCTGAAACATAACCAAGCATTCTCGACGCTACACAACTCGGTGAATGCTTCCTGTAGGCGCAGCACTGCACAAGAGAAAAGGGTCTCCCTCACCTTGGTGGTCATAATTGGGGTCTTGAGGTCCTCCGCCCATATTCTCGCCGTCCAGTCGCCAACGGTCATGAAGTACTTGTTTTGGGTTGGATTACGTTGGATGCTGTAGATCGGACCGTGGTGTTTACCCGCGCCCATGTCAAACACACTAATACCATTGTTTTGCTTCCTGTTTCGAAGGTTGACCTGACAGCAACGTTGGTTACAGACAACGAAAAGGAGAGAGGTACTTCCGGTCGATATGCCCTGTCTGAGCGCATAGACTTATCTCAACAACGAAATATCGTATCGCTCGCGAGCGACAAATATGTGTTGACTAGATGCGTACTACACAAGCGCGCCTACAACACTCGAAGTGCGGGCCCGAGAAACGTGCAAATACACAACCCCAGACAACTCTCTTTCGTGACTGCTCACTCGCCGTTTTGGCAACTCAATCACAAATGGCTTCGATCAACCACCTACCCGATAC